CAGAAGTACACATTTGCTAAATCATATTTACTTCATACCAAGAGGATCAGTACTATGACCCAAACAAACTGATGAAGTGACTTAAATTTATTTGTTTATATGCACTTTTGATATTTAGGAGCTGTTGTGCCAAACAAAATGACAGCAATTTGGGTGTCTGTGTAGCAGAAGTATTCTTTATTGCATATGCATCTAGGAGCCAAGCTTTTGTAAGCCAGACTCAGAGAAAAGTACCAAAAGATGTTTTTTTTTTATACTGTGAAACAAACAAGCTATAGTGACACTCCCCCTAACAGTAATACAGTAATGTCTACATATGGATATACATTACATAAAGTTTATGTAGTGAAGCAGGCTGTTTAGTGCACCTCCTATATACAGTAGCTGTGTCTCAATGAACTTGCCTGGTGATATGTGACAAACTGTACACATGTACAGATAAAAGCAGAACCTCCCTGTACAAGTTTCTTAGTGAAAGGTGGTATACATGCAGAATAAGCATCTTATAACTTAAATCATATCTCTTGGCTTATTGACAAAGACAGGTTCTACTTTTATGTTCTGGGTGCAAAGCCAGCAATGTAAAAGTTAGATGCAGCGGTACTAAGCTATAGCAAAAATATTGGTTTAAATGAAAGATCAACCTTTTATTTCTTCAGTGGTCAACCAACTCTTTGAGAATGCCGGTGACCTGTGCGTTTACTAGTCTTGTCCTTTCCTGCAGAAGAAGCTGTACAAAATAAAATAAATTGCAGATGTACAGCTTAAATGAGGTTGATGGTTCTTGTGCATGTTCAGCTTCTCATTGGAGTGGCAGTGACACATGTGGCACCTCTGCATATGAAGATTAAAGTAAAGAAGTTTCCTGAAAAAAATAGAAGGACCTCATATGCCTATTGCTTGTGCACTCTGCATCTTTTTTAAAAAATGTGCAAAAATCTGTCTTGTCTAACACTGGATGCCCTTTAAATGAATGCTTTTAAACATATTTCCATGATTCCATGATTTCCATGATTGCATTCTTACCTCTGAGTGCTGGTGATTCCATTAGAGCCCAGACGGAGATTCTTAGATTCTATTTTAATGGCTCTACATACCATTTTGGTCTCCAATCTTCTTTGTGCATTTACCAGTTGGAGGATTGTGTTTGTTTAGTTGTTTATATTGGTAAGATGTGAATAAATAATTCGATTTAAACTCTAATATAGCCGTCTCCTGCCTTAACCTTTGCAGTAGGAAATTGAAATGGGCATCTTCAGAATTGCCTCTTAAGAGGTTGAAGGTTGGGTCTGGGATATCTGGGTCCTGATCCATTAACTTATTTTCCATTAAAGTCTGTAAGTATGTAGGTAAGCAAAAGGATCTTATTTTATAACCCTTTTACCTGCGTTTTGAGTGTGTAATTTGGCCTGAATTGGGGTAGTTTTTGGACCGTTCGCGGCTAGCAGCAGCTGAAGGACGTGATCCTGTTGCTTTTCCATTCCTGGGAGTTTTGTTTTTGTCCACCTGTCTGTTAAGTCCATGCAGTTCGATCTTCCTCGGTAATGCCTTCATTTAAATTTTGTACAACCTCTGACCACCATTTTATTTGCACAGTTTGCCATCTGCTAGAGTCTAGTACCAGTTTTTAAGGGTGGGTAGTTTAGGATTTTTGCAAAGATCTTTTTCTGCGTAATCTATACCCTCTTGAGGTACGTTAATGCATTGTATAATATATCTGTTTAGTGCCTTGGGGCCAAGGGCCATATGAATGTGTATTTTAGAAAATACATACTTTACAATAAATATGGTGATTTGACATTGAATGACGTGGGTGATCTGAATTACGTTCCATAATTAAGATTGTACACGATTCGGAGCAGCTTTGAATTAGCTGCGTGCAATCGAACTCCCCACTAGATGGCAGTGTAATATCGCATTTCAGCCCATTTCCTCTTCACATTTAACTGCTTGAGAAGTATTCAGGTGCATCTGTTAACTTGGAAAATCAAGCACGTAGTACATTTGATTTGTTGTATTTATTAATGTGACAAATGGAGCAGAGGAGAAGATTCTTTCAGATGAGACATTAATCCGAGGTCTTTACTGCTTGGCACTGTGTGTAAGAACAGGGGAGTGGATATCTGAGCAGATTCTGGTATTCCCCTTAATTCAACTGCTGTGGTAACTTCTCATTTTTTTCAAACTTCTGTTTGGCAACTGCTTGTTGCCATGTGTCACCCAGATGAGTAGTGCACTTCAGTAGGTCTCATACATGTAATTCTCTTCAAGCTT